ACAGACAGACAGATAAATCCTGTCAGTCTACAGACAGACAGACAGATAAATCCTGTCAGTCTACAGACAGACAGATAAATCCTGTCAGTCTACAGACAGACAGATAAATCCTGTCAGTCTATAGACAGACAGATAACAGCAGCTCAGTCCTACAGGACAGCTGTTCTGCTCCTTCCAGCTGTAGACTTGTGTGGATCTTATGGTTTCCTGTTATTTAATGTTATTTTTTTCATTATGGTAAAATTAAAAGGTGTTAAACTTTAGAGAATGTTTCTTAAACAAAGTTTTTACTGATAAACTTTAAAAGTTTTGAATGAAAAAAATAAAATTACATTTTTTCTTTAAACCTTAAAAAACATTGTGACCAACAGTCAAAACAGAATAATTAATGTAATGTGGGAGCTATAATAAATTTAAAGTTATGACATCATAACATTGATGAGGAGCACATTGCCTCTCACTAGCTTTTTGTCCCACATTCATTGTTTCAGGATCTGGTCAGCCTAACTGGAAGTTTCCCAGCTCCTGATGGAGAGCCACCATAAAGACTGGACCAAACAGTGTAAGGACAAGTTCTTTTACTTTGGTAGTTTTTCTGTGTCAGGAAGTTTCTCAGAGCTTTCCTAAACAAAAATTATATAAGGGCACAATTTTCAAATATGATCTTAGATATAGTTCAGCTCAAAGACCATGTAGACTATGATTTACAGTAAGTAAGGTTTTATGTTTTTGTAAAGGGGTGGCCATCTCTTAAAATGCMCTTCAAATGGCTGGAAAATGCAGAGTTTTGAGTACATTTTTTCAGAAATTTCTGGGGTCTCAGCATCTGAACCCTCCTAGACTCTCTTTGTTCTGCTGGTGCTCCTACAGTAGGTGAAACTTACTGTCATCACTACAAATCATTTATATACAACTAGTTAAAGTACTATCTTGTTTTTTAAAAAGTTATACTGTTTTGTCACCATGAACAATCTGATGTTTAATTGAGGTGTTGGAGCTGTTACTGATACAGCAGATGATTCTGGCTGCAATCAGCCTCCTATCTGGTGACTTTACTTTCCTCTGTGGTACTAATGTCTGCATGTACCAGAACACAACTATTCTGTAAGAGCTGTTCATACTGTATGTCTGTTAGAAGCAAAAAAACAGAGGAGCCTGGGTTAAAATCTGAAATATTCTCGTTACATAAAATAAGCAAATAATGTGAGAGCATGTTTAGTTGACTTTAAAAATGAAATATCAGCAACATGTAGTTTTTATAACTGCTCCTTATTGCTGACAGAAATTAGTTGTAACAACACATGATGTTATATCCTACACATTTTATATATAAATCAATTTTATCCAGTAACTAATATAATGATCAAACAAACAACATATAACAACAATAGTTTTAAAAAAGGATAAATACAGACGTGAAAGAGCACTTTTTAAAGAGGGACGAGGAAGAAGTAGAGGTCTGGGCTAAAGCCCCTGATGTTTCAAGAGCCTAAAAACGCCCCTGATTACATCCATCCGACCATACATCCAAGCATCCACATATCCAACCAAACAATCATACATCCAACCAACCATATCTCCAACCTTACATCCAACCAGCCATACAACCAACCAACCAAACATATGTACTGTATATCCAACCATAAATCCAGTCAACATCTTCTCCAACATGGATCCCACTGAACACAGAACTATTTCCGCTGTAGGATCATTGAGTTTCTGTATCCTCATAGATGAAAAAACCTTAGCTGTATTTAAAATAGTGCTTCACCCAAGATTCATATCTGATCGATTAGTCTAATTGTTATTTATTTTTTTGATTAATCAATTAATTTATTTGCTTTTGTAGAATAATTCAGGGTATTTTGGGGTTAAAATATATTGTGCTGTTTCTGTAATTTACTGTTTTACTTTTCTGTTCTATATCAGTTCAACAGTTAAGAAAAGTCTTGTGTTTTTTTTACCTATTTTTTCTAACAGCAACAAATGTTACATTTTTAGGATATGACATACCTAAATTTCCTCATTTTTACTAGTGTATGTAGTATTTACCTGGTGCTATGCAGCTGTGTACATAACTAGTAAATTTCTCTTGTGTAAGAGCAAATGATGTAATTTTATTGAAGGTGGCTCAGTTGGTAGAGCTGATCTCAGCAAGAAGGTTGCTGGATCAAATCCCGGCCCAGGGACCTTTCTGGGTAGAGTTTACATGTTCTCTCCATGCATGCGTGGGTTTTCTCCAGGTACTCCAGCTTCCTCCCACAGACCAAAAACATGACTGTTAGGTTAATTGGTAACTATAAATTGTCCATAGGTGTGCAGCCCTAATTTAAAACTTGGTAAAAGTTTATCACAGGAAACATCTTGACTCCAGACAGTGATGATGTCAATGTGTTATTGTTTCTCTAATACAGAGGAGCCCAAAATAGGGCCCACACGCCAACCCATTCGATTTGGCCCATCAGCAGTTGACATAGTTACTAGGCTGCAACCTGTCGTTCAATGCAGAAACAATATTTCCACTTAGTCATTTCATCCATCGGCCCAGCGACTATATTAGGGGCTGTACTTCAGATAGTTTTCACTCATGGTGCTGACGTGTCTTTGATAAAGATTAAGCATGAAGTACAAGTAACAACAAGATATATTTAGATTAGATTTACCCACAAATGTAGATTTGCACACTTTATAAGTACAAAAACTCATTTTATCAATTTATGAAGTCCCATGAGCCTTAG